CCTACAGATGGCGACCCCCACCCCCACCCAGCATGGGCCGCTCCATCTGCTGGCCTAGCTCAGATTGCCCTACTCCTACTCCACTGTGGCCCCAGGCAGTGTAAGGCGATCTGGCTGCCCATGGGGCTGGGGCTGCCTCACCCAGCAGCAGGACCAGATGGGCCATGGAGGCTTGAAGACACACACCAGGCCCCGACAAGGGTGCAGAAGGAGGCGGCCGCTGCAACACCTGCTTTTCCCATATTGGCACTGCACATGATTGCTCAGAGCGGAGAGACACAAGCAAAAATGTGCTAGTGCCAAAATCGGCCAAGCAGATGGGACTGGCACAAGCCCTCTGGGGACACACTGGGCAAGGTCTTTGCATCCCTGCACCCCTTGAATCAGCGTCGTCCAGGCCCTCTCGGAAGCAGAAGGTGAGGCACTCGAGGATCTGTCTCTGCTCTGTTTATGGCCCTTCGGTAATTCACTGACTGAGACTGTTCACAGTGAATTCTACCAGTGCCATACACAGAACAGGAGTCAACTCTCCAGCCCGCTGACCCTGAGGAGAGGCCAGCTGCCCCCAACTCCGGCTCCCAGTTCCCAGCAGCCTGAAGCAGAAGGTCCAGCTCCAGACCTCCCAGCCTGTCTACCCACTTGGGCCCCCACCAGCTCTGCAACTGTGCCCCCACCACTGCCACCAACCACAGCTCAGCAGCCCTCCTCACCTTTCTTTACCATCCTGACATGCCTTCTCAACCCAAGGTGACCTTCAAGGACACAGACAGAGGAGTGGAGAAAGGCAGATATGGCTTCACAAAGGGTGGAGCAAGAAAGAAAGCCTATCAAGGCATTCCTATCTCAACCCAAAGGCCTGCGACCATCCACCCTCACCTAGGTGGGGGTGGGGTGGAGGTGGGTCCAGACAGTTCATCTTTTTGTCAGTCCAGCCCTGAGTAGCAAGCAGTTGCCAGATCTTCTCTCTACCTATCATGACAGGCCCCACCCGGCCCCAAATGAGCAGTGACAAGGAGGACATCTAAGATGCCTCTCCTGCCTCTGAGGCCAGACACCAGCAGCCCCAGCTCCAAAAGCTTTGGTCTCCAGCAGCCCCCATCCTCAGCTGGCCCTGCAGCACAGGCAGAGCCCCGGGGTACATCCAACCTGCTGCTCATCCTACCCTCATCCCAAACCTGGCTGGGCTGAGCATCACGGCTGCCTGGCTCGGATCACAGCAGAAGGCCAGCAAGAGGGCAGGAGGGTGAGAGGCCTTTGTCAAGGAGGAAGCTTGGAGGAGCTGGAGACTTGCTGCCCTCTGGCAAGGGGAACAGCTTCTGGCTGGCTGAGGGGACTGCAGAGGAAGGCAGAGGCCAGGGAGTCAGGGGAGGGGCAGGAGAGGTTGCATCAGTGGTTGCCAGAGCGGCTGCCTCCAGAGAAGTCACCGTGGAGGCTCCTGCCTCTGGTGCCAAACACCCTGGGGAAGGAAGGGAGAGGAGGGGAGAGGGAGGATGGTTCTCCGGGGAACAGGCGCCCAGGACAGGAGGGCTAGGTATTCTACAGAGCAGGCACTACGGTCTCAGCCTGTTCCACACCAGCCTGGAGCCCAGGGGCAGAATGGCTAGAAAAACACCTTGGAAGGGTCAGAGTGAAAGTTCCTTGATCCAGAAACTATGTAAAACTTCTTGGTGACACAACCCCCAGGAACATTCTCCCAATGACCTCAGGCTGCCCTTAGGCAAAACCCTCAACTCAGGACTCCACCCTCCCACTCCAGGGCCTCCCGGTCCTGCTTCAACACAGGCCTACTGCAGGACTCTGATCCTCCAGCCCAAACATCTCCCCAGGGGCCAATCTGGCTTGATAAAAGTGGTGGTCCCAGGAAATCACTTCCTGATCTTCTGCTTCAGTTTTTCTCACTAAGTCTTTGAACTCTGCCTAAGAAAACGGGGACATCACCTCCTAGCCTGGAAGTCATAGGGGTGTAGCAGAGAATGTGGATTAAGTGGAGGTAGGTAGTTGTCAACAGGGTTTAGGGTATGACCCAGGAAATCACTCAATGGACCCCTTGAAATGTAGATTTGTGGGCACACCCAGAAATCTGCATTTCAGTAGAAACCCAAACAATGCTCCAACAAGGAAATGAGAATCCCTTTTGAACAAATGTCTTGAAAATTCCCAGGAAGTCTCAAAACCGGGGACCTAAGGAAACAGAATCCTGATTCCTTTCTTTTTTTTCTTTTCTTTTTTTTTTTTTTTTTGTTGTGTGTGTGGGGGTGGTGCCAAGGTGGGGAGAGGTGATTTGAGGAAGAAAAAACAGAGATGCTTTGCAATCAAGAAGCAGGTCTCTGCCTGAAAACAGAGGACTGGATTCTGCTGTCCGGGCTCACTCCCAGTAGAAACCATAGGAAGAGAAGAGCCCTATAATAGAAAGTGGCCCGACAGGCCTGCTCCCTCTCACTCACTGTGGCATCTCTCTGGAGAACCCCGGTCCCCTTCCCTCATCTTTACAACTGATGAGGGTGGAGGGACAGCAAACAGCTTACAAAGCCAAATCCCCTCCAGCCTCCCGTTCTAATCAGCAGGACGAGGCTCCTCCCCTGCGCGGCCTCACCCCTCCTAACACAAATGCCGCAGAGATCAGTGCCGCAGTGCACCGGCAGCGCCACACCCGCCTCTGAAGCCCCGGTCCACCCAAGAGGCAAGCAGTAACTCTTGGACCTCAGTGGGGTGGCCTTGGGCCCTAATGAAGCAAGATCTCATAGCTCTCCGGGAACCGGGCATAAGGGAAGCTTGGGGACATAAGCAACAAAAGCCCCGCTGGAAATCTCAAAAAGGAAAGCAGGCCCAAGATTTGGGGCCAGTCCTTAGAGCAGCCTCTCCTGTCCTCCCTGCAGGCCACAACCCTGACCTTGAGATCAAAGAGACAAAAATCCACTTCTGGCAGTGGAAGACAGTAGTCTCCTAGTTCTGCGGGACATGAGCTCCTGACAATGAAAATAACGTCAGAGCTGATGTGCCAGGGAGATTTGCAGATGGGTGGAAAGGCTGGGGTCTGCCCAGGATGTATACTTTCAACACCTTACAAGGTCTCTGCTAGCACACCCTCAGCCCACTTAAGTTGGGCTCAGCCCCACCCTCCTGAACTCCACTTGGACCTTCTGACGCTTCTCAGAGTCCTCCTTTCCCTAAAGGTTTCTCTCCCCTGGCACCCACACCCAGGCGCAATGGGCTGGCCCCATGCGCGTTTTCTGTGCTGGTGGCTCCCCGGACTCAAAAGTCACAGGGCAGTGGGAATTCAGGTCTCCTTCTCTATCATGCAGCCCTGTACCTAGATAGCTCTCTGCATGGCTTCCACCTAACGAATATGGAGCCCAAGTTCGCCACCCACAACCACCTGGGGCCTGTAACCCTCGGTCTCCATCGAATGCGCTGGGGCCCAAAGGGCTGCGGGAAGCCAGGTCCTCAGACAAGCCCAGGGCGTGCCCCAGCCAATTTGTCTTCCTAAGGAGGTCCCCCGCAGTGCCCCAAGTGGCTTTCAGCTCAGCTCAGACCACCAGCGCCTCATTAATAATCTGGATTTTTGGAGTTGCGCCGGCTAGCTTCAGGAGCCACTGAGCCACGTTAACCCGCCTATGGAGAAAAGGAATAAACGAAATTCTCACAATGACACTAGCACACTGAAATTTTTTCTTCTTTGCGAAACGCGGACTCCAGAATATCCTCTATGCCACCCCCAGGAGCTTGAAGGGGCGACCATGAGCTGTGAAGAAAGTGGTGGCTGCAATTCCACAGCAGGAGTCCAAACCAAGGGCCTCCTGGACACCCGCCTGAGGCTGAGAGGTGGGCTCATCCACAGTGAGACCACACCCGCACAGCACAGAGGCCTCCCGACTCCAGCCCAACTGGCTTACTGAGGGACAGGTGAAAGGTGAAGCACTCTCGGCAGAGCTGAATGACCCGGAGCGAGGACCAGGGTCTTTGTGCAGGCATTCCTCCACCTACCCCGCAGAAGGGAAATCGGGTTCCCTTAGTCCTCAGGAGTCTTGCAAAGGCAGTGGGGTGAGGATGGGGGCGGGGTGGGAGGTTGATTAGGGCACCTCCCTCTCTCAGACCCTAATCTCTGAGCCCGCATTACCCGTTCGGCCACCGCAGGTATTTCTAAGTACAGAGTAGGGACACTAAGACTGGAGAAAAGGAAAGCGAATGACTCAGCCCCGGAAGGCTCGACGGAATTGGGCGATCCCTGACTGCACTGACCTCCTAGGATGCTCTGGCCGGCGAGGCGCCCAGGCGCGCCAGACGGCAGCGAACCTCTGAGCAGGGTTCAGGGGCCGCAGGTGCTGACCCAGCCCTAACAGGAATGGGAGCGGGTACAGGAGGGGGCGTCTCGGCCGCGCGCTCCCAGACTCCCAGGACTGATGGCCGACAAGTGGAAGCGAGCTGGAGGTCAGAAACCTGCTTTCCCCAGGGATAGGGCGGGGCTGGCCCGGGGCCACGGAAGCAGTAACTAACCTGCCACGAAACCCCGAAAACCAGCCGAAGAAAGGAGCTCTCCGTGCCGGAACGCTCCCAGCAGCCGGCGTCGCGGCCCGCCTCCTAGCCTTGCGCTTCCACCGGGGCCCACCAGGGCGGCGAAACGCCAGCGCGACCCCAGTCGGATTCCTCAGGGAGGTGGCGCTTGGGCCCGCGCCCATAACGCACGTCGCCAAACACAATCCGCACCCCCAAACTGTCGCTGCCCGGATCCTGGGTAACAGGGCTGAGCTCAGGGCACAAGCAACTGGGAACCCTGACCCCTGGATCTTTGCCCCGTGGACACCTCTGCCGTAGGAGCCCGAAAGGGCTAGAAGTCTGCACTGCCGCGTCATCCCCGAAGGCCGGCCGCGCAGAACTGCCTCCGCTGGCCCGGCCGCCCGCCCCCAACCCAGGTTCTAGCACTGCTGGCCCCGGGGCACCCGCCTCCACCTTCTCTTCCTTGCTTAGAGCAGGCTCCGCCCGGCCCCGCCCCGAACACTCACCTGCGCCGGCTCGGGGCTGGGCGCACTGCCGCCTCCCAGCTCCGCGCGGGGTCCACACGGGAAGAACAAGAAAAAAAAGGGCCCACGTTTGGAGCGGGCCGGATGGATGGAACTTGAGGCGCGCCAGGTTGGGCCAGGGCGGCGCCCCTAATCTCCACTGCCCGGGCAGGAGGAGGCGGCGCCCCAGCGCGGAGCCCAGAAGGGGAACAAAGAGGAGCCGGGATGGGGCCGCGCGCTTCCTGGGTGTCGGGTGACAGGTCTGCAGGGAAAGGCCCCGGCCGGGCCACCTGAGGAGCAGACGCCTTCGCGCGGCAGGCAGAATGCACCCTGGTACTAGGGCCCTAGAGGCCGTAGAACAGGGTGCACCGGCCTGCCTCCGACCGCGCAGACGGAGGGAGGCCGGCGGTCTTTCGGCGCGGAGGCGCTGGGACTCGACCGAGTGCAGAGATAATGACTCCAAGAGGGTTTTACCGCCCCCTGTGCCCCGCCCGCCCCCCGCGCCGTGCCATTGGCTCAGGTGCCGAGAGGCGGGGGAGGGACAGGAGGCGGGCCAGGGATGATTCACCTTGAATGTGGCTTGGGTTGGTGCGCCACGCAGGGCACGCCCGACGGGGACTGCAGAGACGCAAGGAGCCCCGCCTGCTCGTCCAACCCCTCTGGGTTTGGCCTCAAGGGGTCCCATCGCCCACCTTCTATCCCCGCCTCCTACCTTCGGGCTGGGGTTCCACTAGCCGAGGTGCGCGCCCCGACGCCCTGCCACTCCACCACCCTCCGAGCCCGAAGCTAGCCGAGGTGTGTGTAATTTAGCATGCTTGGAAATTCGATTCTGGGCTGGGGGGAGGGGAGGGGAGTTTGGCGGCGGGGCCACTGCGGGACCACTAGACGGATCTCACAGTCTCCCAGCAGAAGGAGGCTCAAGGCTGACCAATCTCAGAGGACGCGCCCAGACCTGGGGGTCCAGGACTGGAGTGGGAACAAGAAGCTCTCCACTATGTCCTCACCCACCTTTGCCCAGTTCTGCTACCTCACAGGTGTCTGGCCACCGCCGCTGGCGGGAACAAAGGCTGCTTGTCCCGGAAGGGGGAGGGGAAGGGAAGGCGCCCCCAGACCCGTTCCCATCTCCCTTTCTGCCCCCGCCACCACTGCGGCAATGGCTCCCCCGGGAGGGGGCGGGGCCGAGCGGGGCTGGGGCGCGGACACCGATTAGATCCTTCTCGACCACTGTTGCTCAGTTACCACCCGGAGTATTTGAAAAGGGGCTCGGGTCGGATGCTCCCAAACTGTCAGCATTGGGGTGACCTCTTCCAACATCCTGATCACCGGAGCGCCCCGCCCCTCGCCGCTGCTTTGGGCGTCCTTCCCAGTCGCTGCCGCGCCCGGCCGCCCAGACGACAGTTCAAAACCAGATTAAAATAAAACGCTAATCCGCCTTCCTCCCTTTTAGCTCCTAGTTGTTCCAATGGACCCCGGCAGATCTGGTGGCCTAGAAACCTCTAAAAGGCACGTCAGGGACTGGGGGGCCTTAGCGGATTCCTCCGCCAAACCTAAAGGCCCGTTGCGCTGAGATTGAAAACCGTTAGCACCCTGTCTTTGGCTCGCGCGAAGGAAGGGGTTAAGTGGAGGGAGAGTCAGTCTCCCCGCCCCCCGCCCCTGCTGAGCCGCGGGGGCCTGAGAGTGACCACGCAGATACTAACCCTTCTATACTCCGGATTCCTGGGCAGGGCCTGCTCCAGCCATCGATGTTGCGGATAGATGGGTCAGGAGACAAGACCCACCCCAGGTGGGATGGCCAGGCGAGTCTCGGTACCGGAATGTCCCTCTCCCCACACAGCCGAGAATGAGAGGTGATGCGCCAGAACCCGGGCAGAGGAGATAATGAAAAGGGCACAATCCAACAGACCAAAAGAGGGGGCGGTCCCATATTAACCCCTCCATGACCCACTCATCCTCTCCCATCCCCATCGCCCTGAGCCTTCCTGGCGGAGCCCCCACCCGCGCCCTACCTGATCCCCAGACCCTTAGGGTACTGGGCGGCCTAGGCGCTGTAAGCTCCAGAACACTGGCCACACTGGCTGCGAGCGGCCTCGGCTGCCTGCTGAGCCCCTTTATAGCGTGGGCCCCGCCCTCGGGGCCCCTCCCTTAGCCCATTCACCTGCTGTTGAGAACCAGACACCGCACAGCGGAAAGGTAGCCTCTGGCCTGCGCGGTCCGGCCGTCGAGGCTGCCTGCACGGGGGCGCAGCCGAGACGGATCTAATTTCCACCTTTTCTTAAATGCGCTGCTGAAAGTCGAGACGGTCTCGGCCTAGGAGCCAGCGACGCTTCCTCCCCCCCGCAGCTCTCGGCGCACCCGAGCCCCCAGCCTCACTCTGGGAGGGGCCGGGAAACTGCACCCGCAAGGGTCTCATGCATATTTTAGGGAGCAGGCTCGGGGGGTAACTGGAGCTGGACCTGGACGGTGAGAGGGCGGCCCCCGGGGACCCGATACCCAGGATCTCTTACGGCTCGGGGCTCTAGTAGGGGAAGAGGTGGCTCTGGCCGACCTTGGGTCCTCAACTTTCTTGGCCTGTGGAGCACACTTAACGCCCACAAGCAACCTACCCTCCTCCTGCAGTCTGATGTCTGCCTGCCAGCTGCGGCATTTCCCTCCTCCTAAAGAGATCCCTTTCCCCTACGACCCACTCTGCTGGGAGTCGACCCACTCTGCTGGGAGTCGTGCTCCCCGGGATGCGTAGTTTTGGGTTTCCTGACCCTCTCGCCAGTTTTAGGAAAGGTTTGCCTGTCCTTCCGGCACGCAGAAGGCTCAGCGCCTTGCCCTGGGGCCTCAAACACGGCCCTTCTTTCTTGCTGAGTGTCTTGTCCTCAGGCTCTCCTTCCTAATTCCTAACCCCAGCGCCTCGCCCTCTACATGTCAGTCCCCTGGTGTTGAAGGTGTTGGGCGAAGAAGTAACCAACTCACTTTCCTCTCTACGTGCGCCAGAGCTGGGCAGAAGGGTGTCTGGGATACCAGCCTCCTCTCAGGCCTCTAGAGGTAGTTCTGAGGGCTGGGGGTGTGTCTCAGTGGCCTAGCAGACGCGAGGCCCCGGATTCAATCCCTAGTACCGACCCACACCCACAAAAGTCAGGTAATTCTGACATGGCCTCTGGAATGGTGAGGTCCTCGTGCTAACCTGGGACCATATTGCACTAGTAACATAACTCCAGTGAAAAGAACCCCGAATTTTGTCCTTTTCTTTAGCCCCGTTTTTGCTTTGTCTTTCTGGACTATTTGAAGTGAGTGTGTGTTTTTTACCTTACGTGCCATTTCGAGCGATTCACTTCACCTCTTTGAGCCTCAGTTTCTCCTTTTGCAAAATGGTTAGAAGAACCCCGACCTCTCAGGGAGATAAAGAAAATACACGCGTGAGCATGCGATTACTTGGTGACCCTGGGATCCCTGCACCCTCGACACGCGACCATCAGCTGGTGCCCACCCCCCGCCGCGGTATTCCAGGTCCCTGGAGCTGCCCCCTCCTAGACTCGTCCACTTTGGTAGCCAGGATGCTGGCCTTTTGATTTTGGCAGAGCCCCAGGCCTCGGGAATCTAGATGCGTGTGGGTCGACACTTCCAGGGGTATTTGAAACCCAGCTAATATTCTAGTATATTTTTTTTAAGACGGTGTATCTGCATCTGTGCGTTTTTCTCCAGGCGGCAAAGGGCGCTGTAGGATTCTATTTGCCTGAGCCCGGGGGGTACTGTTCGAGCTGCCAGGGAGTGGAGTGGGATTTGGGGAAAGAATGAGAAATAGAAAGAAGACCGACAAAAGAAAGGCGATTCTGTCTTAAGGAATCGACCCAACTCTTCAAAAGAATGAGGAAAATATAAATGATCGTTATATATCCTGGAAAATATCCTGGGTGTTTAGTGAAAAGCGCAAAGGGCACGTGGGCTCCTGATTGTGTAAAAATATAAATGGGGCAAGGGTTTAAGCATGAGGTTTGTTATGCACAAAAGGGCTCCTCCCGAAGGACTGAAGACTTTTTTTTTTTAAGGACTTCCTTTTATGGCCTTCTGGACTGTTCGAAGCGAATGTGTGTTTATTATATGCTTGTATTAAATTTTCGATTTAAAAAAAATGCTTTGGGATGTCGAAGCCAGGACGGGTGGAGTCCGAGGGCGAGGCGCAGAGTGAGTGAAGGGACTGAGGCTGCAGCAGGAGGGAGCCGCCCGCGCTCTGGCTCTTGGGGGAAGTGCTTCCAGAACCTCAGTCCAGTGAAAGCTCGCAGTGGGAGTGAAGAAGGGGACCTGGCGGTTTCTCAGCTCTAGGTCTTTTCCCTTTCCCTATATGGGGACCCCCAGACTGAGTTCGATCCTGTGCCTCCGAGGCTCGAGAGTCCACTGCAGAAGATCCCCAACCGGAGTAGGACGGGCGGGATAGAGGGATGCATCCAACCCCAGTCGCCTCATTTTTAAAATAAAGCTAAAAACGCCCGCCGCTCATTTTTCTGGAGAAGTTGGAGAGGATGCGCTAGGGAAGGTGCACTAGGAGCCCGGCGTGGCCCCGCTTCTGCTTGGGTCCCTCCGATGCTGGAAGCGTAGTTTCCCCACCCGCGACCAGCTGGGACCCGGGAAGGGGCCCCCACCCTCCCGCATTCACGGTTCTCAGACTCCAGAGCCCGCCTACCAGCCCTGAGGCCCGGGGATGGCGTCAGGGATCAGAAACACCGAGGTTCTAACCAGATTGTGTCTGCAGTTGGGGGATTGGCCCCCACAGCCTTCAGCAGATTATCCAAAGGTCGGTGACCCAAATATGGTTTTGGCCACAGGCCATGTTTCACTCCCTGTGTCCAAAGCAGAATTTAGCAGAATAATTCTGCCCCCAAACCAGGCAAATGCTTTTTCGGGCTGGGGATGCCTGGAGGAGTTAGGTCTTAAATGTTTCAAATTAGAATGATCTTCGTTATTCACCTTCCAACCAGGATTCGTTGGAACCAGGATTCCTGGTGCCTGCCTGAGCTTTAGTTTCTTCTGTGGAGTGGGAGCTCGCGCAGATCAGAGAACGACTGGGGGAATCCGTCGAAATTGTGTTCTTCCCAGCGCCTTGTGGCAGCAAAGCGCTTCTTGGGGGACAGTTCTTTTTAGTCTTGCCGGAATGAAGTTGCCGCCTTTCTAGAATGAAAACGTGCTCCTGCCCCAAGGGTTCTGTGGAGGGGACCTGCGTTCTGTCCAGGGCCGTCGGGTTCTTTCCTCCCCATCCCCACAACCCGGCTTTTCCCCTTGCGCATCCCCTCGGCGTCCAGCGTCGTGGGCGCGGACATCTCCTCCACGCCCTGCAGCTGCCAGCGCTCCCGTGGCTCTCAGCCCCGAAGTCTTGGGCTTTGGTTTTGACTAACTGCCTTAGTATCCCTCCCGGTTGCTCCCAGACCCTCAAACTCTCCCAGGGCCCCATGACCCAAATATGGTCATGCTCATTTGTGGTGGCCGCTGAGTCAAGCGGGCTAAACTGTCGTTTTCTTAGGTGAGAGATCCGAAGCCCAGCTAGGCCCCAAATTCTGGGCAGAGCCGCACCAGAGCCCAATTCTCTGGATGTCAGCTCCGGAGTCTTTCCACAGATCCACAGAGAACTCTTGGAGCCGGGTCAGGAAGAAATACTGCAGGGCCGTGCGGTGGCGCACGCCTATAATCCCAGAGACTCTGGAGGCT